AAAAGGGCATGTGATCCCAGTGTTCCATCAATAGTCTTCAACAGATAATCCATCCATGAATATATTTGTATAATGAGTTGGAGTCCCAGTTTTTATTATATTGCCTTTAGTGCTTTTAATATTACAGCTGTTTAATTGTTTAATAGTATATTGGTGACCCGTTCATGACTGGGTAAGAAAAAGGAATTAACTAAAAATCAACTCATTTGGGTCCTATTTTGTGCTACTTTGCTGTTTCTTTTGAAGTTCATTTGGTTAATTGTTCCCATGTCCCTGTTTTTTAATGGAAAAATGAATGCATATGACAAAATCCTTCACCACACATAATTTTTCTACCACGACAATTATTACTTCTCTCACCCTCTTTCCTGAACAAAAAGCACTCTTCTTTCAGCTTACTTTTCGACTATTCCTACTCTAATTGTTCCTTGATCTCAGAGGATCCCTTCTCTCCACTCTGCAGCTGGGGTTACCTATTTGAAAGAAATATACAGCTATGCTACCTTCCTGTTTATGACAATTCGATGGTTTCCTCCATTGCCCTGAAGATAAATCAAGCTTCTGACATCATGTCCAAAGGAATCATCTTGTCCTTCCATGTTTTCTAGCTCATTCTGCCCCACACGCCACCTCCTCCTCTCTGCTGTAGTCACGTTGGCTTTTTCTCAGTCCTTTGTCCTTGGCATGGCCCCTCCAGCCCTTGGTTCAACACACAGTGTTTCCCCTACCTGGCACGCTCTTGTGCTCTTTTTCTCAATTAGGTAAATCTATGTATCCTGCTCATCTTAGCTCAATTGTCACTTCCTCAGAGATTCGTTTACGAGTTGCCCTAACTCGGTCTAATCTTGTGTTATAAAATCTGTTAGTATTATGCTCCTCTCCTTTTTGCACTTATAATTGCAATTTCATATCAGATCATCTATTTATGTCCCTTTTCCCTAGTGGAATATAATATGTCTCAATTGCCTACATTTACTCACCACTGAATCCTTAGCACAGGTATGTAGGAGCTACTCCGTAAATATTTCTTGACTGAGAACAAAATAAAGTTCTTTAAGGTTTCTCAGGGAAAAGACATTACACGGTTTTTAACTACACTATATTCTACACTACACACAATATAATGTATTCATCCAAAAAAGATATAACTAGAAAGATTTTTGGAGTAAAATCATTCTTTATATCTATTAATCTTCAGTCTTATCTTCTTTTCTTTGATTTTACTTGTGATCTGAACATAGAAGCTTTGAGGACGAATGAGAATAGAATTCCTTAATAAGAATTTGCTCTCAGATTATATATTGAGAAATAATGCAATTTCTTTTTCTTTAATACCATTTTCTTACTGTTCATTAGCATTAATATGGAAATTATATACTAATACCAGAAAATTCAATATGTCTATGCCTTTTTTAAAAAAAGGAAATAGCTATTTTGTGCATCTCTGTTTTCTATTACAAAGGATATTAGCAAATATTGCATTTCCTATAAGGAATATTAACTCTAAAAGCACTTATAATTTCATAGAAAAATATGGAAAACGAATCTTGACAGAAAGTTCATTTAAATCTACTAAAATTATCTGTTTTGTGGATAAATTATTTTAAAGTGTGAGATGAGTTACAGGAATAAGAAGTGATTTTAATCTTCAGAAGTTTGCTAATGTAAAATGGTAACAAGCACTGTGAGAGGCCAACACCATAAGAGAGAGAACATGGCTTTACAGACGACCTCCACTGGTCTCCTACCAAAGGATTTTTCAGCCACCAGGTCATAGCCACGAAGCTGAATAAAATCTTACTGTGACTCTGCCAACACTGCACAAGAGGATTGGAAGAAGATATAAAAGGTGATCTTGAGTAAGTTTTACAGCTAAATAATGAGACCCTCAATCAAATACCAACATTTAAAAATAAAAAAAAAAGCATAAAGGATTGTTGAGTTCAAATCCATTATTTTGTATATGGGGGGAACCAAAGTTAAGAGGTATCAAGTCATGACTGTAAGGCCACAGACTCAGTTGATAGGACAGCCAAGATTGAAAGACAGATCTCCTGGCGCACTGTTATTTCCACTACATTATGTTGCCCAATCACATCAGTTCTTTAAGATTCTCTAGGAAAAAGAATCTAAGCAACAAACCCCAGTTCTAGTTCACCGCAGTAATGGGAAAATCCACAAACATTTTTACAGTAATAATAAATGGGCCAGATCTTATTAGCTGACAAATAATATGAACAAGTAACTATTATCCTCTGTTCACTTAATATTCTTTACATTTATCACATGCAGATAAGAAACATTCACAAAACTTATTCCTTCAATTACAATGTTTCTGCATTACCGCAACCTCTCTGAATTAAAAATAGCAATATAGGCTTTTAAGTGATCATTTCCATTTGCAAAATGCTGGCAATTCTATGCAGAAATGGATATGGACACAGCAATTCATAGTATGATGCTACATCAGTGGTGTGTTCATAAAGCAGCTCTTCAATAAAATAAAATTTTAAAAAGCTGTGATTTGCAGGATGTGCTGATTCCTGTGTTATAAATACTCCCACAAGGGCCAATTTCACGCTACCAAGTCTGTAACAGAGTGCTCATAAAATTTTTGAATATTTAACAATTGGCTCAAGTGTGTTTCTCAGAGGCAGTTCCAGCACACTACTGATACTACGGTAAACACAGGAATAATAAAAATCAACCCAGTCTTTTAAGAAAGAGGAAACCGAGGTTTAGTGGGAGGAAGTGGTCTGCCTCAAGATTACACAGTGGTTGAGCAGGTTTTAACACTCAAAATTCCATCTCAACTACCCTCATCAATTAGTGAAACTTTATACAGTAGAAATAGTTGGTGGTCTTCAAGACTCGAGAGAGTGGCCAGGCACGGCGGCTCATGCCTGCAATTCCAACACTTCGGGAAGCTGAGGTGGGTGGATCATGAGGTCAGGAGTTTGAGACCAGCCTCATCAACATGGTGAAACCCTGTCTCTACTCTACTAAAAATATAAAAATTCGCTGGGTGTGGTGGCACATGCCTGTAATCCCAGCTACTCAGGAAGCTGAGGCAGGAGACTCACTTGAACCCGGGAGGCAGAGGCTGCAGTCAGCTGACATTGCAACACTGCACTCCAGCCTGGGTGACAGAGTGAGACTCTGTCTCAAAAAAAAAAAAAAAAAAATACCGTTGAGAGAAGTGCTTCACAAAAGATCAATAGTAACGATCCTGTTTAAAATGCGTATTTTGGGGCTGTACCCCAGACTTGGTGAATCTTAATTCCTTGGGGCGAGACATCTTTGTGTCCACAGGCTCTACAAGTGGAAAACTGCAGTAAGAAAGAACCTTTCCCTAATAGCTACCTTTAAAAAAAAAAAGAGTTTCAAATATAAATCAAGGACAATAGCTAGTTTTCTTTTTACTTCATCTGAACCTTCTATCATAAAGCCTACAGTCTTTCACATTTTCAAAGACCTTGCTTTTCAAAATATAGTTTAGAATTTTTAAACAACAAAAGAAAAAGTTGAGTTATTTATCTTCTGATTCCCAACCTTAATATTCTATAGACCAAAATCTAACATATATTTCTATGTCTTTGCTCTGGCATATTTAACATCCTTTGAAAAAATTTTAAAAATATATATATTTCTCTTTCAAGGTTCTGCCTTGCCTCTTTCGGGCAGATCACCTGAGGTCAGGAGTTCGAGACCAGCCTGGCTAACATGGTGAAACCCCATCTCTACTAAAAAAATTAAAAAATTAACTGGGCGTGGTGGCAGGCGCCTGTAATCCAAGCTACTCGAAAGGCTGAGGCAGAAGAATCATTGGAACCCAGGAGGCGGAGGCTGTAGTGAGCCGAGATCCTACCATTACTCCCACCCTAATCTACCTACTGTTTTGTCAAACAATTAGATAGTTACGTATTTGTATTTCAGTTTATCTGCCACTTTCTGCTGTGTTGATATGTACTCACAGTCTTAAATCTAGGACAAAGGAAAATAAATATTGTCTGTTTTGTTTTCCTCTTTCAATATTTTAGAGGTCAGAACATTTACAAAATAAATATCCTCACAGCTTTTTTTTAAAAAAAAAAAAAAAGAAAGAAATTGCAAAAGAGAAAAATAACAATTGAGCAATAGTTTTAATGTAAAAATACACGGCTAAGTCATAATAAAATGACAAATACATGTTCTAATATTACTTTGAAAGGAATCAGGTACTAACCTAAAAATACAGGTCTATGATTCTTAATTCATTATTAATTTAATGGGAAAATGAACTTAAATATGTGTTTATTTCCATAGAAATAAGAGAACTAATGACATAAGTGTTGGTAGACAACAGATTCATGAAAACATTTTTGAAGAGCTTTAATCATTTCCAAACTTCCAAGCAGATATAAAACTACTCAGTAAGTGTGGTCCTTGGCCTTGGTAGGCGACAGCTTCACTCAACTTAGTAGTAGATGTTTTTAAGGAAACTAGAGAATTAGCCTTATGCTTCTCCAAATGCATGGTCCTGGCTGAACACACATGTACCAAACACTGGCCAGAAAAGCTTTGTAACACAAGAGACTTCTGTGTTTTTGAGATTCCCTTCACTAATACTTCTCAAGAAAATCTGCTTATTTCATGAGACTCACCATTGACTCCACTGGCCACATGGTTTCAGAGAGGAACTCTATTCGTGATCTTCATCTTACAGGTCAACTATCTAAGCATCAGCCAGCATTTCCATGTATATTTGCTCAAGAGCTTCTACTCAATGACACAAAGTAAACAAATTCCACTCCCCAAAATAAACTAGCTTCGAATCTCAAATTTCAGTCCTGTTTGTAAAGAAGAGTCTTCCTCACTGAGACACCGGTGGGTGAGTACACTGACTGTTATAACACATCCTGCCCGCCAAGGGAAGCATGTGAGTGAGAAACAGCACAGGCAGCAGAAGGAGACTTACGGTTGGCACAGCTTGATTAGGTCCTGGTCAGTGGTGCCTGGTGGGAGGCCTCGAATGTACAGGTTGGTTTTACTCAACTGTTCCCCGCTGCTGTTGTTGCTGCTGTTGTTGCTGCTGCTGTTTGTGCTGGGGCTGGGAGGAGCCATGGGGTGGGGAGCTGGTGCATAGGACTGCTGGAAACAGAAAAAGCTGTTACTGGAAAAACAAAAGCCAGCACCTATTCACAGACCAGCAGCATAACTCGAAATCAATGTAAGCTATGTGTCCTCTCTGATACACACTCATATATACACACAAACATTGACATCACTACTCTGTGCTGCATTCAAGAATATCGTTTGCTTTTTTTCATTCCCCTCTGACTCTTCGTTCAGATCAGCATCAGGCAGCCCTAAATGGGACAAAAAGAAGTTACCAGGTGCTCCTGGCATTGCATATGGCATTTGAACTTGCCGCTGACTACAGTGACTCTCCTTAGAATGGTAAAGTAGGGTATCTTCCTCCCTAATGAAATGAAACAGTCACTTTTGGCAATGAACTCTGACTGGCTTACCTTTAGCAGCCAAGCACCTTTGATTTCCCTCTATTACTTTGTTCCCTCCTTTCTCCAAAGAAACTCCCTCCTATTGCTATCCTCAACGTCACTGTTCAGCACAATTCCTAATACACAGAAATCTTTCTATAAATAGTGATTCTATGACTGACTGAATGAATGACTCCATCTCAGCTCTTTCTCCCATTTCCAAATTGTTTCTTTATGTTGAATGTTCCTTGTTTGCAAGATGGAGCTACCATTCATTCCCTAACTTCAAGATCCTCTTTAAATTACTCTAATCCAGGGTCTCAACCTAGGCACTATGAACCACTTAGACGGGATAATTCTTTGTCGTGGGCACTGTCCTTGTTCATTGTAGGATGTCTGGTGGCATCCTTTGCCTCTATCCCCCAGATTATAGTAGTGCCCATTCCCCGGAGACGATCACCAAAAAATATTCCCGGACATTGCCTAATGCTCCCCGGTTCTAGAAGGAATCCCTCCCTCAGAGAACCACCATTTTAATTCATTACTATTCAATTCATTACTATTTAAATTTAATTATTTTAATTTGTTTAAATCATTAGATGGCAAAAGTAAAATGATAAAATGACTCACAGAATATTGGAATATACAATGTGAGGGTTTTTAAAATTATATGTATCAGAATTCATAGCTATATTTACTCATTATGCTTATTTCTTTTTTTATGCAGGCGTATCTTTAAAAGTTCTCAACTAACACTCACTGTCTAGGTGGAGTCCCTGCTGTGTCTCTTATTGGCTATGTGACCTTTAAGTGGTGCCTTAACCTCTCTGAGAAGCGGCATTCTCATTAATATGAAGGAGATAATGGTACTCTCTGAAGTTATAAGACCTTTTTTTTTTACAAAAAGTTGAGTTAATGCAAGCAAAACGGTTCCCAGAAATTAGCAAGTATACAATAGTTAATACTTATGGCTTGTATCTGTTTTGTAATAATATTAACCCATATAACTATGCCAGATTTTCTCAGTTGTGACCCCAAATGTTACCGAAAAACATAACAAGCACTTTTCTCAAGATTCCAGTGGGGAAGCTGGCTGGGTTCTAACCTGAAGATGAAGATGAGGTCAAACTCTAAAACATTTTGTGCCATGGCACAAAGGTAAGGAATAATCTGAAGGAAAAATGTACTCTGAGCCTCTACAGTTTCATTCTTTAAAAAACCTCAAGAAACATATTCAACATGAAAATAGTATGTCTTTTCATTCCAAAACTTCTGGTGCTGCCGAAAATGGCAGGTCTGTCGGGTCTGGGTAAATAAGGAGATGTCCTAGAAATACAGCTGATCGTAGCCTTCACAGACAGCTAAACTTTTTAGGAAGAATCCTGCAGTGGCTTCCCACTAAACTTACTGAAAAGTCCTGAAAGCTCCACATGGTTTGTTATGAGACTTTTACTCCTATCGCTTCTCAGACCAGATGCAGTGGTACTCCCAACTTTTCACCCTTCCCATTCTCGGCCCCACTTTACTCAGCTAGCTCTAATCCGTCCTTCTGATTTCAAATTAAGTATCATCCTACAACACTCTGTTAGTTACCTCCACAGCTCTCAGCATATTTGGTCTTATATAATTATTTTTGGCTTACTTATTTAATGCCTGTCTCTAGCACTAATCTGTGTGTTTCCTGAGAGCAGAGAATGTGTCAAACCCACACATGAGTAGCACCTAGCCTAGTGACTGGTATACAGTAGGTGCTTGAGAAATATTTAGGCTACTATATATATATATAATAAAAATGGAATGAAGACAGCACCTAGCATATAGAGAAAGAAGGCCCAGTTTTAGTGGTACCTGGCCTCATTTCTTGCAATAGTAATCTGTTTTACACCTTCCAGGATTTTAAATTTGATCAGTCTCTATTTCCCATTGTTTATAAGACAATGTGCTTTAGATTCAATGTATCAAATTCAACTCGTTGCACCTGTTCTCTCATTCCCAGTTCCCCACATCAGCCACCCAACACAATTATCCCGTGTGGTTGAATATTGGTATTGTTCTGCCCGTCTCTGTGCTAGAAAACTTGCTGTTAGCTTTATCTGCTTCTTAATTTTAAATCTCAGAATATAGTCAACCACTGAAATCTCAGACAGCCTCCTGGAATCATCCTTTTCTCTTAATTCCCATTGCTTCTCTCAGCCAGAGTCTGTACCATCTCCTATGTGGAGGGCTTCAAGCTTTCTATCATGTTTCAACTTTTTTTGCCCTTATTCATTGGGAAGGCAGGGTAGGTTGGGGATAAGAAAATTGTCCAGACTGGCACTATGGTTCATGCCTATAATTCTAGCATTTTGGGAGGCTGAGATGGGTGGGCCACTTGAGCCCAGGAGCTCGAGACCAGCAACATGTGGCAAAACCTCATCTCTACAAAAAATACAAAAATTAGCTGGGCGTGGTGCCATGTGCCTATGGTCTCAGCTACCAGGGAGGCTGAGGTGGGAGGTTCACTTGAACCCTGGAGGCTGAGGCTGGAGTGAGCTGTGACGGCACCACTATACTCCAGCCTGGGCAACAGAGCAAGACCCAGTCTCAGAAAAATAAAATAGAATGAAAATTACGCAATGCAAACACACATTGACCAATAATTAAGAAATGCAGAAGGGAAAGAGTAAACATGACAGGAGCAAAACATAGAGCCTCTAGATTTCTTCTTTGAAATAACATTTTTTGCCCAGGTTTCGTGGCTCATGCCTGTAATCCCAACACTTTGGGAGGCTGCGGCAGGTGGATTACAAGGTCAGGAGATCGAGACCATCCTGGCCAACATGGTGAAACCCCATCTCTATTAAAAATACAAAATATACAAAAATTAGCTGGGCTTGGTGGCGCGTGCCT